TTCATTAAGGCATTGGCATTTAACTGTTGACAAAATGGCTAGTATTGTTTAACAGTGGGAAAACTCAATTTTAGGGTGTTATCCTATTGTACAGTGTGACTAGAATGAAGGATTAGTTTTCTGGCCCTACTTTTCGAACTACAATGATGTGCTGATGCAATTGGAGGGCAATGTCAATACCATGACCCTGCTGCTCCTCTGTAGTGTGTAAATGTGTGCTGGGATGAGAAATTTTCTGAACACGAATACTTTACGGCATTAGTGAGTGGGAGTATAGTCACATATCCAAACTATGTGGAAGTGTATGGGTTCTGTTTAATAACTCAAAGGTATGTACCACTAAGTGAAGCCAGAGGCTTGTGCTAACTGAGCCAGTGGTTGGCCACCAGAGGTGTGTGGTCCACCTGTGCTGCTGCAGGCATCAGTAGGTGAACTGAGCCTGGTTCAGCTTGTATTATTTCCACCATAACTCTTTATCCAAAGAGGAAGCCAATGGTCTCATATAGGACCTGCAAAATCAGCTCAAACGAACATACGTGTGCACAGTGCAGTGTTTCCCGTCGGAGATGAGTAGCACAGAAATCAAAGAATGTTACGAACTGAAAGCTGGTATTAAATGTTGTTAAATTTGTAATTTTGTTTACTTCTTCTACCATCAGACTCTTGATTTATTATTAGTATAAATTTTGATTTTCCAATTATTATTATTATTATTTATTTATTTTTTTTTAAAGATCAGCTTCTTTGTTCATATATTTATACAATGCATCTTGGAGAGTTTCTTTAACTATGGTATTCAAAAAAAGAATTGTTTTGGTATAATCATAATGGCACTAGTATCTAAAATGATACCCATGCATAGCCTAAGCTGGGTACTCTGTTGTACATATCATGGTTGGTGAAGAACATGTGACTGTGGTGGTAAAGTTATAAATTGTACAAAAATATTAATTTTTCCTCCCATCCTTGTGGATTCAACCACCATAAATAAACTCTGTCGTGGGCAGATGATGTCAAACTAACCTGAGAGGAGATAACACATCTGATTAACATGAACTGCTGTGCTCCCTGGAGACCCATTTGTCAGCACAAGGATGGTTTAATGATATCAGGCAGAGAGCCACATACAAGTTGGCAGTGAACCACAGGGGCAGTTTGGCAGCGAGTGGTGCATCATCTGCCAGTCTGGAGAAGATGCAGCCACCTGCACAGTCCACAATTCATGTGTCATGGCATGGTGACACTTTTATTTTGGTTGATAACCATTCCTACAACAAAACTAAGGTATACAATGTTGTGTGTAATACCTTTCAGCTTGAGTCACGGTCACTCCTCAAATCTACCATTGATGGTGTTGCACTCAGCTTGAAAGAGAAGTTAAAATCCTGTCTACTTTTACACCCTTGTGTACCTGGCCAGTTACTATGTAAAGTGAGCACACTTTTGGACAATACAAGCACATAATTTGAAGTATACAACATAAGCATTATTACATTACAGCACATCACCAATCTGTTATATGGAAGACTTCTAATTATCCAAAGTACAACTAAAACTTAACTCGTGAACTCACAACAGCTGTTTATGTTGTAGCTGTTGCTTTCTTTGTTGCAGTTTCTCTTGAAGGAATCCTCATCTTTCCTGTCTTTCTGACTTAAGATACTTAAGGGACAGTTCACCCTAAAATCAAACCGTTTTGCCTTTCTACCAAACTCGACTCACCAACCCTATCTACATGAAACTGCTCACAACAAGGTCGGTGGATTATCTTGACCTAACCTGGTCATGGTTTCTGTAAAGAACAAATCTATTTTTCTGTGATAACTCAGAAACTCACACCAAAACTATCTAGAAGGATAATTAGCACTACAGGTAAGAGGGAAAATCTGCATTTGGGGTGAACTCTCCCTTAAAACAATATCTTGTGATGTAGTTTTACGAAATGGGCTGTCGGTTCCTAAAGGACCACCGTATAACTGGTTGGAAATAGCATTAATTCTGTGGCATGAATCTTTGTTACACCACTTTCAAGCAATGTAAAATCATTTTCATACTGTCAATAGTATACACAATGTTAATAAGTGTATACAGTTTGTCGTTTCTATTGCACAGCCCAACTTAGCAGGTGCTTATTATGTGACAGTGTGAGAAGATGTGACAGATGCACAAGTAAAGCTAGTGTATTAATCACATGATATTCTCCACTTTGATGCGGCTCATTTATTCATTATTCAAAATTATTCCCATGCTGCATGAGGTACACAGTATAATTAGATTAGATAGAGTAAGTGGCCCAGTGTGTGGGTTGGTGGTACTTTGCCTTACCACGTGGGTTGGTTGGACATGTATGTGTCTCATCTGCCATAATGTGAAAAAAGAGGCTTTAGTAACATTAGTGATAAGCACATCCATAGAACAAAAATGGTTTTAATTTGGAACTTTGTCTGAACTTGGGAAAAGTAGCGGGCCAAGTATAGACTGACACGTAACAACACTAAGGCAAGGTTAAACTCCCTGCAATATCTGCCAAGTAACGTCTTTAATTGACAGCTCAAGGCGCTCACTGTTCTTTATTCCACAGACATTCACAGATCTAATTAACAAAACCATCAGCCTGTCTTTTTCCTTGTGATTAGCGGGGTTTTTTTATCTCAAAGAGTTGGAGTCTGGCAGTGTCTGACTGCTACTTGGCAAAGGGTCACTGAAACAGAGAGCTACAAAGATCAGCTCCTCCCCCATAAAAAGATAAAAATAAATAAAAAACACCAGGACTAGTGAAGGTGAGAATGGAAGTGTGAAGACATGTCACCGCGGAGGAGCAAAACAGCACCAACTCCTTCATGACCACTACACCTTTTGTTAGAAAAATAGGTGAGCAGAATGGAAAACTCTCTCTTATTATCTATTTAATTGAGAGTGTCATCGACTGAAAGATGTTTGGACTTGAAGCCAAGACTCTCCTTGATGGTGACACAAAGGACCCAAAAAAATGGGGGGAAGTGACATTGTGAATGCTCATTCCTTTTCCAAGATTTTCAAGGGGTTTTAAGTGCTGGGGTTTAAGATTAGAAATATTAGATTATTATATTAGAAGGCAGGAAAGGTAAAGGCCTTGGGTTTAAGCTATAATAATCATAATAATAATAGCTTTATTTGTATTACACTTTTCAATGCAGGTAACAATTATATACAGTGCTGAAACGATTCCTTGAGAAACTCAATTACTAAAAATCATCATTGAAAATTCTTTGCATAATCCATATAGAGCCATATAGCACACTTTGTTTTCAATGAATGATTATTACACACTTTCAAGACAGAAAATAGCAAGGGAGAAGAGAAAACAACAAAAAGGGTCCAAAAATGTAATTTCAAGCTAAGACACAATGAAAACTCTGTACAGAGTCTGTTGTAAAACCGAACTAGCCTAGCACAATAGCTAGGGATGCACCGATACCACTTTTTTTCAAACCGATACGATACCGATACTTGGATCTGAGTACTTGCCGATACCGAGTACCGATGCCGATACTTCTACCACAAAAAAAATTTAATGAATTGGAAGACAGGTTTTATTTTCTTCTCTGCTTGTTACAACAAATGATGATGAATTAGATAAAAAATAAAATATTAATAAAAATGACTATAAAACTAAAATTTCAAGTGAAAAATAAACATTTTTTCTGTAAATTTATTGCAGTTTCCACATTTTATCCAAACAAAAATATCAATTAATCTATTTGGCCACTGGTCTCGCAGCTTTCAGATTGACGAAACATTAATGAACCTATTGCAGTGTCACATTTGAATCCAAACAAAATATTAAACTTTAGTCAGCAGCAATTGGGTGTGGGTCTCTTGAACTAAGCTTTTTTTTGTGAAAGGTGAGGAGGCCAGGTTCTTTTTGAATGAAAAAATTCATCTCTGCATTTGATCAGCTGTTGAGCCTGTTTTGCTTTCACTCACAATGTCTGACACTGAAGCTTGAAAACAGCCTTTCACTGTCAACGCTAGTGGCAAGTGTGCTGGAAAGGTATCTGGCTCCGGCCAGTTTAGCAGAGTTTGTGAACCGCATTTTATTAACCATCCAGTATTTTACCTGTTCAAAAAGTTTTGGCACCATTAACGTTCCATGATGTAGGGGGCGGCTGGGAATCTCATAATTCGCGGCTCGAGTGTGACTGAGAAGACGGCGAAATCCTACATTTTCCACAACTGACAGTGGTTGGGTCATCCAGAGCAATAAAATGTGTCAGAGCCTCTGTTATTTTAACTGCCCGTGGATTTTCTCTTGACATTTTTTCTCGCTTTTTTCAAAACCTGAGTTAGAGTTGGCTGTTGTGGTTTAACATTAGCCTTAGTAAACTCAGTGTACTCAGGGTTATGATGTGTCCTATGTTTTATCATATTGCTCGTATTGAACGACGTACTCTCCTTTCCTCCCCTGGACACCTTACCAGTACACAGTTTGCACTCTGCCTTGCTCATCGTCGCATATTTTGAAGAGAGTCCACACTGCTGACATGCTGTTAGCCTACTGCACCCGCCAGATTTTATTTTATTTTTTTAAGCCGCCAGTCTCACTCGCCTAACCACACTCCTGATTAGCTCGACATCTCCCCTAGCCGCCAATCTAAAAAAATACAAAAAAAATGACAAGCCACCCTCTGATCGCGGTCTTCATGCAAAGCAATTGCATGTAATAAATTGGTATTGGTTCATGGTATCGATTAACTTTAACGAGTACGAGTATATTAGACTAGTATTGGCCCGATACCTGATACCAGTATCGATATTGGTGCATCCCTAACAATAGCACGTCATCAATACTTCACTGTGACATTGTTTTTCAGCTAAAAGATACCACAATCGATCGATCATGTGATCACGTGAGGCTTTCAGGTCCACAAAAGTAATTTAAATGATTCAAAATTGATCCTAAGGCAGCCAGTGCAAGGATGCTAGAACAGGTGTGATGAAGCACTTAGGACTAACTGTAAGCTGTGGGTTGATTTCTGACTGAGGTATATAAGGAGTTACAGTTGTTGAGGCAGGAGGAAAATAAAAGCATGGAGCTTTTAGCTGAAATAGCTAAAATAAAAGACAGCTATAGCTATATAGCTATATATCTCAAATGATAAAAACATGACTGAACATCTTTATTTAGATGGAGTTTGAAACCAAAGTCCTGAAAATAAAGTGACATCTGTTTTTGTGAGGTTAAATTGGAGAAAGTTGTCTGACATCCAGTATTTTATTTCAGCAAGGCAGCTGTGGAGGGTTGCCGACTGGTTGCCAGTTGACTGAAATATAGAGCTGTGTGTCATCAGCATAACGGTGAAACTGTACACTATATTTTCATATGAAGCCACAAGGAGGCGCATATAGTTTAATGCCGTATTAAAATGATTAACTCTACAAACAAAAAAAGCCTGGTCTCTAAAAAACACTGAGATGTAATTGTATTCATGTACTATAATGGTTCACATGATAAATTCAGCACTAATTCTGTCAGTACTACAAGTCATGTCATACTCACCACTGTGCTGCTGTCATATGTCAAACTAAAAATAAATCATCTGTTCAGGAAGTGTTGTGTTTCGCTGACAGTATCTTAACACAGAATTTAAAGACGACAAAGCAGACAATAGGTTGGATATTAATCTGTATTGTGGAGAAACTGTTGAGTTTACAATAGCAACAGTACAGAAAACAAGGAGATGTCTTATTAAAATATGATCAAATATACTTTATATACTTTTTTCAGTAATAAGGCCTTTCTCTATTATACGCCTGCTTCTCTCTGCTGTTAAAGTTAAAAAAAAGCCCTGGCCATGATTTAAGGAGTTACAGCATTATGGTAACAGTCCATATATGTATAATGAGATGAATAGTGTGCACTCCACTCACCCTGCTCAGACCCATGTGGTAGGTGCTTTTCTCCAGCTCCAAGGACTCGAGCAACTCCTCCACAGCCTGGAAACCAGCAGAACAAACAGTCAGTACACAGATAAACACAAACAACCACCATTTGCCCTAGGCCTTACCTCGACATGATCACATGACCTAGATGCCCAAAAGGAAGCTGGCTTGGTGCCATAGCAACAAACACCATTCTCCCTTAACACCAGCTAACACAAACACAAACACAAACAC